CGGAGATGGGCGATGCCGTCGGCGACAGCCGTTCGTCCGTGGAGGAGAGTTCCCCCGATGAAGAGATCCAGGCATGCTTCGCAAAGTTTCGTGGAATTGCCGATGGCGAGCGCTCGGATGAATCCGAAGATGGAGCCTTGGCCGTGCTTTCGGCTATTGCGAATGACGCGCTCGATCTGCCTTCGCATCGTTTCAGTCCATCGTTGCAGCGAGCGTTCGCAGCGCGGGCGCAGCCGTCGAAAAACAGAACGCGAAAACGATGACGAACCAAAACGATACGGGAATTTAAGGGGGCACGGAATGTGGTCACTCTTTGGGGCCCGTACTACAGAACCTGGTAGGCATGCCCCGCCCATGAAGGCGTTGCGGGAATGTGAGGTGGCACGGGAATTTAAGTGGGCACGGGAATTTAAGGGGCACGGGGACGCGGCATTGAAAATCCTCCGAGAGGTTTCCTCAAGTGCGCCGCATGTGCGAAAGTGCTCCGAGGGAGTTCCTGAGGTGCATTGACTGCTCTCGACCCCATCTTCGTTCGACCAAGCGCGCTGCTGCGCGCAGTGCAACTCGCGTCAGGCTGAGGGCAAAACTTCTTCTGTGTCTGACGAATCTCCAACGCGTCTCGAACGCTCAAGCCGTTAGGAATAGAAAGCCATTGTTGTTTTCCATACTTTTATATCGAGCGGCCTGGGGCGTTAGAGATGCGTTAGAAATGCGCTGGACATGGCGCCGCCGGCTCGGGAGAGATATACCAGAGGTCTTGCCCTGACACGCAGCTGAGTGACCCGACGAAGATCCTGCGCTTCGCTCTCGGCGCGAGCCCGACAGAGGGAACTCGATCTCTCCAGAACGAACCCAGCCTTCTCCGGCTTGGGACCCACTTTCACCGGCACTCCGTAGTCATAGTCATGTCGGTTCGTTTGCGAGATTATCGTTGCCCCCATTCTGACTTCGACCGCAGCTCCGAAGCGCGCGCCCAATCAGCTGCCCAAGCCGATGAAGGACGCGATCGAGCAGATGGCGTCTCGGCAAGAGGGTGGACGCGGGCGGGGTCGCCGCTCTCGATCCAAGTCAGCGCAGGGCTGCTTTCTCAAGTTTGGGGGCGACTCTGAAAAGCTCGTGGCCTGCGGAGTACGCCAAGTACCAAAACATGACAGACGACCTGGAGAAGCGTCGGTGGCTTGTCGCCCTCATGGTGGCTCCCGAGTGCGGCATCAGCACCATCGCCAATGAGACCGAGAGCGACGTGCGCGACGACGAGCACGCGGAGGACGAGCGGGTAACAGAGGACCAGTTGGCGGGGCCCCTGTACCTCAACAACCCAAGGCATGCCAGCCTCGCCGTTAAGAGCATGAGTTCGCGTCCGCTCAGGGGCAACAAGGCCTGTCGAAGCGGGGGTGCTGCAGTCCAACTACGCCGAATACAGGGCCATCCGCGGCAAGAAGATGAGCAAAAAGGTCAAGCTCGACACCGAGGCAGAGCTGGAGAGCGAGGGCGCGCAGAACGTGAGAGACCGCGTGGAGGATGCCGAGGTCGTGAATCCGAGGCCAGATGCCAAGCGCGGTGGGCCTGGGAAGAGGAAGAGGGCGCAGTCTGCATACCCTTCTGGTGCTGAGCCCCCGCCCATCGAGACGACGCCGCGCACGGAGGCCAAGAAGGAGGCCGTCGAGCGCTTCAAGGCCACCGCCATGCCATCGAAGTCGCACCGCGGCAGGGCCCCCAGAAAGTTCGGCACGGCGACCTTGGTTAAGCAGGAGCTCGAGCGCAAGTGGTGGGGAGAGGGCCCGATCAACTTCCCGACGGCCCAAACGGAGGCGTGGGTCAAGGAGCGCGAGTCCCTCTTCAAGCAGTGGGCAGAGGCGAAGACCTTGAACCCGACCAACATGAGCATTGAGGCCTTCGAGAAGGCGACCTTAATGCCTGAGGGCGCGAAGAAGACTCTCGGGAAGGACTGCGCTGCCTATCGGAAGAACATGCTTTCCGACTTTCAGGGCATCGAGTGACCAAGTATTGTTGCTGCCGAGCGTTGCGCTACGTGCCAGCGCAGGGGCGCTGCGCAGTTCTCTCACATGTCGCGGCAACTCGCGCTTCGAAGCTCCCGGGGGCGAGCGCCGCCCTTGCCGGCCGCGCAATCGACGCAGATGAAAAAGAATCCTCTTCCGAACCCCCCTTCCCCCCATCGACCCCCCCCCCCCCCGCGCTACCCGGAAGCGTGGCAAGCAAGCGTTCCGAACGCGACTGGCTGGCAGCGATGTCTCCACCGATGACCACCAAAATCGCCGCTGCGTCGATGCCATCATCGACGCCGCCACCATCCACATCATCGGCAGTATAACGTCCCACAAAGACAGCGCCAACAGCATCGCTGCACGCTCAACAAACCAGGCCATCCTCGAGAAAGGGTTTCAGATGCCCCCCTGAGGAAGTGCATCTGAGGAAACTCATGACGGACCTTAGATGGTTTTCGAAAGTCGCAGTTGGAGACCTCCCAGAGTAACTCTAAAACGAGCCCGACCAATCTCGCCATCAGCATCATCGCAATCAGTCATCGCATCTATCATCGTAGCCCATGTTGGCACAATGGTCTTGCAAGGCGGCATTCGCCAGAAGCTTGGGGCGACGGCCGCGCGGGCGCCACTGGAGCGGCCAGAGCCCGACAGAGATGCAGCGGAAGAGCGGAAGAGCTCGCGGCGAATGAATTCAAAGCTGCCGCGCTCAGCGCTCCAGATGCACAAGAATTCGCCGATGCCAACGCGGGCTCGTCATCGTCGGGTTCCCGCCCTCAGAGGACGCGGCATTCCCGCTGAAATCTTGCCAGACAGTTGGATAAGTATTCGGATATGCCACCGGTGTGCGAGTATCATATTGACATGGGATGTTGAGACCTCGACAACATACACTGACCTTATGAGATGTTTGACAGCGCGGACGACACCACACCAGACTGGCAGAACAGAACATCCCGCGGGACGGCCCCTTCCACAGAGAGAAGCAATCCCGGGGCAGCCGCTTGTCTCCGTCGATCGATGACTGCAGCAATCGCACCGACAACTGTTTGGGGAGATTCTGCGCCATTCAGCAAGGCGGACTTCTTGTGCGCGCCGGCGTGGCAGGGCCTGGCCCCAGTAGCACCGAGGGGGCGCTTCTGGATTGCAACGCTTGCGAAAATGCATGTTTGCGTTTGTGGATGCGCTGGCAAACGCACGCTTGATTCTACGATGCTCGTGGTCATATGGCGTTCTTCGATGCGCCTCTTGGGGACATGCCCCGTTCGTCGCCACGACGGCGCTGCATTTTCTGATTCCACGCGGGCAGTGGATGCGCGGCGCGCCAAGCAGGCCGGCAAGAAAATGCGAACACAGGGGTGCCTTCTCAAGAAAAAGAGCGACTGGGCATGGCTGAAACAGTTTTTTAATTTACAAGGTTGGCGAGACGGCGATGGGCGCAACGTGTGCCGGTTATGTGGGGTTGCGCAGAATGGTCCCCGCGCGTTCGCCGACGCGAGTCTCGGGGCAGCATGGTGGCCGACTTTTGTGGGCGACCGTGCCTACATAATCCGATTTTTTTGAGACTCACGCATACATGTCTCCTCTCTGGATTGTACAAGGGCTTGTATTTTCTAGCGTGTCGCCTCATTGAATGCGCATTTCGGACATCGGCATTCTACAGGTGCTCATAGGAAGCGTTGCATTTGAGATGTTGGGCAAGGTTGGTGGATTGAGCACGAATCCTCAGGAAGGGGTCGACAACTTTACAACGATGCTTCGGATTGCAAGTCGGAACAACAATGTCCAGGACCCGATCCACAACTTGACGCGCAGTGCGTTCGGAAGGGAGAAGCAGGCGCCACATATGAGAACCGAAACTTCGGAAACACGACATCTCCGAAGCGCATTCTACTTCATCCTTACAGTTCGGGTGCCTCCCGAAGCTACCTACGAGGCCTTGTGCCGTCAATGTGTCAAGGCGCTGCGTGACTTCTACGTTGAGCTTCAACAGCGGGGCTGTGGCAGTTCGGCGCGGGCCACGACCCTCTGCAGAAACCGTGCCATATGATATGCAGAGCTGGCGCGCCATCAACTTCGTGAGGGAGTGTGGCAGACACAAGGGTGGCACGCGTATAAAGGCAAGCCAAAACACAATATGCATTGCCACTTGTGCGAACTCCAAATCTCCGCTATCGGGGGCCCTAAAGATATATGGTGCCATTAGGAAGAGGACGAGATTGGACATGCGGTTTATATTGCGCCCCACGTGCAATGGTAGGCTTCTTCGCCGATCCATGATCGATAAATGCAGGCTCTGAGGTATCGGGCTAGTACAGGTGCGCATGCTGGAAAAAATCCAAGCGGCCCAAGGAAGCCCCCAAGCGGCCTCGAAGAGGCCCCCAGAAAGCTCCCAGAAGGAACCAACAGTGCCCCAAGAGGCTCCCAAGAGGTCTCGTCCTCCCCCGCGCCCTCCCCCTCCCCCTCCTTTTTCTTCTTCTTCTTTTTCTTATTTTTCTTCTTCTTCTTCTCCCCCTCCTCATCGTCATCATTATCTGCTTGCTCCTCCTCCTCCTCCGCCTCCTCCGCCTCCTCCTCCTTCTCCTCCTCCGCGATTTCCGTTGTTTGACGCGCCATGCGGGTCTGTGCCCTGAAGCGCAGCGCGGCGGCCGTCGGCCGCCGACGGAGGAGGGGGGAGGGGGGCCCGTTTCGTCGCCCAGGATAATTTTAGGTCAGGAGGAAAGGGAAAACGAACAAGGAAGGAGGGCCCGTTGGGCCCTACACCGGCAGGCGGAGGACCCGAGGGGGCGAGGGCCAGAGGGGCCCTGGCCATCAGGCTCGGCGAGGCCCCCCCCTCTCGGTGGGGCCTAGCGGAGCTCGGCCGCCGAGTCGGAGGCGGCGGGGCCCTCAGGCCGCGTCGGAGGCGGCGGGGCCGCCCGCGCCTGGCCTCCGCGATGTGCACCTTCTGGCCCAGCGTGAGGAGCTCCGCGTCGCGTCGGCCTCCGCGATGTGCACCATCTAGTTTAGCGCGAGGAGCTCCGCGTCGCAGTGGGCCTGCGGGGGCCGCCCACGCCTAGCCTCCGCGATGCGCACCATCTGGCCCAGCGCGAGGAGCTCCGCGATGCAGTCGACCTCCGCGATGTGCGCCCCTTGGCCCAGCGCCAGGAGCTCCGCGTCGCAGTCGGCCTCCGCGATGTGCACCATCTGGCCCAGCGCGAGGAGCTCCGCGTCGCAGTCGGCCTGCGGGGGCCGCCCACGCCTGGCCTCGGCGATGTACACCGTCCGGCCCAGCGTGAGGAACTCCGCGCTGCAGTCGACCTGCGGGGCCGCCCACGCCTGACCTCCACGATGTGCACCGTCTGGCCCAGCGCGAGGGGCTCCGCATCGCGTCGGCTTCCGCGACGTGCGCCATCTGGCCCATCGCGAGGGGCCCCGCGTTGCAGTCGGCCTCCGCGACTTGGGCTTCCTGGCCCAGCGCGAGGAGCTCCGAGTCGCAGTCGGCATGCAGGGGCCGCCCGCATAGCCTCGGCGACGTGCACATCTGGCCCAGCGCGAGGAACTCCGCGTCGCAGCTGACCTCCGTGATGTGCACCCTCTGGCCCAGCGCGAGGTGCCCCGCGTCGCAGTCGGCCTCCGCGGTTTGCACCATCTGGCCCAGCGCGAGGAGCTCCGAGTCGCAGTCGGCCTGCGGGGGCAGCCCACGCTTGGCCTCCGCGATGTACACCGTCCGGCCCAGCGCGAGGGGCCCCGCGTTGCAGTCGACCTGCGGGTCCGCCCACGCCTGGCCTCCGCGACGTGCACCATCTGGCCCAGCGCGAGGGGCTCCGCGTCGCAGTCGGTCGGCTTCCTCGATGTGCGCCGCCTGGCCCAGCGCGAGGAACTCCGCGTCGCAGTCGGCTTCCGCGATGTGGGCCGCCTGGCCCAGCCCAGCGCGAGAAGCTCGGCGTCGCAGTCGGCCTGCAGGGGCCGCCCGCCTGGCCTCAGCGATGTGCACCATCTGGCCCAGCGCGAGGAGCCCCGCGTCGCAGTCGGCATGCAGGGGCCGCCCACGCTTGGCCTCCGCGGTGTGCACCATCTGGCCCAGCGCGAGGAGCTCCACGTCGCAGTCGGCCTGCAGGGGGCGCCCACGCCTGGCCTCCGCGATGTGCACCATCCGGCCCAGCGCGAGGGGCCCCGCGTCGCAGTCGGCTGGTCTGTCCCATCCGTGTTGGTTGGCTGGTATGGTTGTTGTGTTGGTCGGGTCGGTTGGAGGTTGGTCGTGGTGTCGGGGTGTTGTTGGTAGTGGTGATGTGTGGCTGTGGGTCGCACGTCGTTGGCCTCCATGCACCGACTTCAAGTGGGAGTCACGGCGGTCCCACCTCGTTCCGCTACGGCTAGGGGTCACAGTGCCTTCGGTGGGGGCGAACCCCAGGCCTTGTGCTTGTTGTTGGGCTAGGTGGGCTGAGTCGCAGCTGCCCTGTGCTCCGCCTCGTCGGCGCTCGGGAGCCCCACCTTCGCCGTGGGGATGGTGGGGGTGGCGAGCTAGGGCGGACCGCGGGGGCGCGGGTGGTGGCCGCCCCCCCCCACCCCCTGGCCCCTCTGCCCCTCACCACCCCCCCGGCAGGCGCAGACAGTCTCCGTCCTGCTCCCCCCCCCACACACACACCCTTCGAGCCCGTCTCGAAGTTTGAACCTTGCCTCGCCAGGGCATCCGCGACCAGGTTTCGTCGTTGCTGGATGCTGCTGTTGGGTAGTGGGCGGTGATGAGTCGTGCTTGTGGTGGTGTTGGCCGTGGTGGGTATTCTCATGGTATGAGTCGCGGTGGTTAAGTGCGAACCGATGGTCGCCGTCAAACGTCATACTGCTCGCACTCTTCCGCGTAAGGGGTCATCGTGTGTCTCCTTGTGGGTTTTCGAATGTCCAGCTCTACGTGGCGACGTCTGCCTGAGGTGTTCCCACGCATTCGGGGCTTCCTCAGGACTTTGCGTCCTAACGCCTTCCAGCAAGACATGGCGAGCACAAGCCTGGGGTGTTCCCACGCATTCGGGGCTTCCCCAGGACTTTGGTCGCTCTCTCCTCTCGGTTGGCCTCCTTGTGGTTGGTCAGCGCGATGGGGTGGAGTAGAGCCCGTGGATTGAGTCGCGTGGGCTGGCGACCAACGCATTTACCAGGTAGCGAAAGCAGACAGACATGCAGCGGCCCAGGGATACGCCCGAGTCCGCACTCCAGGACAGCACCATAGCAACCACCAGCAGGTGGAAGAAGGAAGGGATGCGGCGACCGCAGGGGATGACGTAGGGTGGGGCTGGGCGTCGGGAAGGGAAAAGAGCGTTGTGGATGATGGACCTCAGGTTTCCCGCTCCAGCCCCTGCTGCCCTGCCCGACCGAACGGGAGCTAGCAGTATGTGGGCAAGGAGCATGCCGTCACACGTCCAAGTAGAGTAGACGACGATTGGTGCCGTCGTTTTTGGGATGGGGAGGTGGTGGGGTGGAAGGCCGGAGCGTCGGGGTTGAGTGGAGTAGAAGGTGCTGGTGGTCCTCGTCGCGCCTGGTGAGCATCGGCCTTGGCCCATTCTCGGGCCTCCCAGAGCTGTTGGTTCTTTCGAGGGCGCTGCCGGCTGACTTCGTGGTAGTCCAAGCCAATCTCGCGCGCGTTATGTACAGGCCTGCAGCCTGGTAGAAATGCTTGACGTCGTCCTCAAGCTGCCAGCCATCACCCGCGCGAGGTGATTCGCCGAACCTGGTGTCGAGCTGTCTGCTTAGCGTCTCGGCGACCGCCTGGCACATACGTGGAGGATATTCCTTCACAGTTGTGGTGAGTCAGTTGCCCTCATGGTCGACCCCCGCGAGCTCTGCGTGGAATTGCGGGGTGTGAAAGCAGCGGCCAGCTCCCGGTAGGCGTCGGATAGCACTCTCCAGCTCGGGGAACGTGACGGCCATCAAGGTTGTTGATTTCCTCGATGTTGCTCCGCATGTGCACTGATCGAAGCTGACCTTCTTCGCCCCGCGCTGTCGGCACAGGTGGACCGTCTCTGGTAACCGCCAACTACTCGCCATGTAGTCCTCTCTGGGCTCTATGGGGTGCTCCAGCATTCCTGGGATCCTGTAGGCAGCACGTGTGTACATGTAGAGCATCTGGGTCCTGTAAAGCCTGTTCCCTAGTTTTACCTGAGCCTGCTCGCGTCTGCTGAGGTAGGACAGCCCCCACGGGTTAGAGGCTGACCGCAGCGGCCGTGGTGGACGCCCACGACACTCGCTGGGTGGGAGATGCCGAGTCCTGCTCCACGTTTCGCAGGGCGGGCCGCCCAGCACGCCTCCCACCCGGCCTTCTCGCATGAGGCGGTGCCACAGCGAGTTGGCGGCCTCGTTGGTCAAGTCGCCGTATATGCTGTCGTTCGCCACGTCCAGAGTCAGCATGTGCACCGTCGACCCAGCAGCATGATGGACACTGTCAAAGAAGCCCTGTATGTCACCCTCGCGCCTTCTGCCACTGAATAAGTGCAATGTGTGGATAATGTCGGCGCGCGGAGGTCGGCACACCTGTGACGCCGCGGGCGATGGTGTGTCGATGGTGGGCAGCTCTGGCTGCTCGTCGCTGTCACCGCTGTCATGTTGCTGGTCGCCGTCCTCGTCTAGCTCAGGAGGCTGAACCTGAACACAGGGTCGTTCGGCCCAGTCGACTGGGCGACCAGCGTGGCGGTTGGCTCGCTGGCAAGCCCTCAGGAGCATCCTGTTGTTGTGCTGTTCTTCGGGAGGAAGCTCCCGGGGCCGCGTCGCCCGCCAGTGCCGTCGACACCTCTTGACTTTTTGCAGGTGTTTGACCAGGCGATTGCACGAGTAGAACCGCACCCCGCACGCCACACAGATGGTACCAGTGGCCCACGCCGTAGGATGAGACCCAGCGGGATGGCACCTAGTCGTGTGGATCCGCAACTGCTGGGCTGAGGCCTCCGCCTTGCCACACTCATAGCAGATGTACCGCTTCTCGCCCGTAGGTGCGTCTCCTGGTAGTGCCTCCACCTGGTCGTTGTGGGTCCACCGTTGAAGCTGGCGCCGCCATGGCGAAGATGGTCAAGGTCGTAGGCCTGCTCCTTGCCTCGGTGGCAGGCTCGCTTCGTCGCGTGGAGGAAGCTGGCGTAGTCGAGCCTTGCCAATCCTTCCACTCGTCCAGGGTATAGCTGCCTCCTCGTTCTTCGGAACCAGTGCAGTCGCGAAGCCACGACAGACCTCGACGTATAATGGCCACCCAGACGTAGTCGCCTGCCCAGCCTTGCGCGAGTAGCCTCCTCCTCCTCCGCCTCCTCCCGCCTTTTCGCCTGTCCCATCCTACACCTTTCCTTTGTTTCCTCCTCTTTCTCCTCCTCTTCACTCCCCTCCTCCTTGTCTGTTCCTCTGCCCGCCTTTTTGGCTCGATCTTCTCAGGCTTCACCCATGGCTAAAGATGGGGGCCAAATATTTAAAGACGTGGATTAGCAGGATCCTTATCTTTAAAATGAAGGCCCGCGCGAACATCGAGAAAAAATGAAGATCGGGTGCGCTGGGGAGACGAAAGCAGAGGCCGCGACGGCGATGTCCAAGCCGGCCGAGGCTCCAGCTGCAGCTGCAGCCGTGGAGGAGGCGAAAGCAGAGGCCGCGGTGGCGTTGGAGGTCGCCGTCCTTCCCCGGGCCCCCGCTGAAAGGCGGCGAAGCCGGCTGAGGCAGCAGCAGCGACCATGCACGGAGGAGGCCAAGACAGCCGAGGCCGCCGCTCCAGCGGCCGAGGAGGCGAAGCCCGCCGAGGCTGCGGCCGAGGTGGCGAACCCAGCTGAGGCACCAGCGGCAGCCGCTCTGGAGGCGAAGCCGGCTGTGGCACCAGCGGCACCAGCGGAGGAAGCGAAGCCAGCAGATGCCGCGGCCGAGGAGGCGAAGCCGGCGCCGAGGCATTAGCGGCAGCAGCTGGGGAGGCGAAGCCAGATGAGGCACCAGCGGCAGCTGCCGAGGAGGCGAAGCCAGCGGATACTGCGGCCGAGGAGGAGGCGAAGCCAGCTGGGGCACCAGCGGCAACCGCTCCGGAGGCGAAGCCGGCTGAGGAACCAGCGGCAGCTGCCGAGGAAGCGAAGCCAGCTAAGGCACTGGCGGCAGCAGCCGAGGTGGCGAACCCAGCTGAGGCACCAGCGGCATCAGCCGAATACGCGAAACCAGCTGAGGCACCAGCGGCAGCTGAGGAGGCGAAGCCAGCTGAGGCACCAGCGGCACCAGCGGAGGAAGCGAAGCCAGCCGATGCCGCGGCCGAGGAGGCGAAGCCGACGCCGAGGCACCAGCGGCAGCGGCTGGGGAGGCGAAGCCAGCTGAGGCACCAGCGGCAGTTGCCGAGGAGGCGCAGCCAGCGGATACTGCGGCCGAGGAGGCGAAGCCAGCTGGGGCACCAACGGCAGCCGCTCCCGAGGCGAAGCCGGCTGAGGAACCAGCGGCAGCTGCCGAGGAAGCGATGCCAGCTGAGGCACTGGCGGCAGCAGCCGAGGTGGCGAAGCCTGCCGAGGCGCCGCAGGCAGCCGCCGAGGAGGCGAAGCCGGCTGAGGCACCAGCGTCAGCCGCCGAGGAGACAAAGCCGGCTGAGACATCAGCGGCAGCAGCTGGGGAGGCGAAGCCAGCGGATGCCGCGGCCGAGGAGGCCAAGCCACCTGAGGCACCAGCGGCATCAGCCGAGGAGGCGAAGCCAGCCGAGGCACCAGCGGCAGCAGCGGAGGAGGCCGAGCCAGCCGATGCCGCGACCGAGGAGGCGCAGCCGGCTGAGGCACCCTTGGCATCAGCCGAGGAGGCGAAGCCGGCGGAGGCACCAGCGGCAGCCGCTGGGGAGGCGAAGCCAGCTGAGGCACCAGCGTCAGCCAAGGAGGCGAAGCCGGCTGATGCACCAGCGGCGGCAGCCGAGGAGGCGAAGCCAGCCGATGCCGCGGCCGAGGACGCGAAGCCAGCTGATGCACCAGCGGCATCAGCCGAGGACGCGAAGCCAGCTGAGGCGCCAGCGGCAGCCGATGAGGCGAAAACGGCTGAGGCACCAGCGGCAGCCGTCGAGGAGGCGAAGCCAGCGGATGCCGCGGCCGCCGAGGAGACGAATCCGGCTGAGGCACCAGCGACATCAGCCGAGGAGGCGAAGCCAGCTGATGCGCCAGCGGCAGCCGAAGACGTGAATCCAGCTGAGGCACCAGAGGCAGAAGCGGAGGAGGCGAATCCAGACGATGCCGCGGCCGAGGGCGCGAAGCTGGCTGAGGCACTAGCTGCGTCAGCCGAGGGCGCGAAGCCAGCTGAGGCGCCAGCAGCAGCCGACGATGCAAAGCCAGATGAGGCAACGCCGGCAGCCGCTCCGGAGGCGAAGCCAGCGAATGCCGCGACCGAGGGCCTGAAGCTGGCTAAGGCACCAGCGGCAGCCGCTCCGGGCGCGAGGCCAGCCGAGGCGCCACCAGCTTTCGCCAAGGGCGCGAAGTCAGCCAATGCCGCGGCCCGGGAGGCGAAGCCAGCTGAGGCACGGGCGGCAGCAGTGGAGGAGGCGGAGCCAGCCGATGCCGCGGCCGAGGAGACGGAGCCGGCTGAGGCACCTGTGTCAGCCGCCGAGGAGGCGAAGCCAGCCGAGGCACCAGCGGCAGCCGAGGAGGCGAAACTGACTGAGGCACCAGCGTCAGCAGCTGAGGAGGCGAAGCCAGCAGATGCCGCGGCCGAGGAGGCGAAGCCGGCTGAGGCAATGGCGTCAGCCGCCGAGGAGGCGAAGCCAGCTGAGGCGCCAAAGTCAGCCGAGGTGGCGAAGCTTGCTGAGGCACCAGCGGCAGCAGCCGAGGAGGTGAAGCCAGCGGATGCCGCGGCCGATGAGACGAAGCCAGCTGAGGCACCAGCGGCAGCAGCCGAGGCCGCGAAGCCAGCTGAGGCACCAGCGTCTTCCTGGGAGGCAAAGCCGGCTGAGGCACTGGCGGCAGCAGCCGAGGATGCGAAGCTAGCGGGTGCCGCGGCCGACGAGATGAAGCCAGCTGAGGCACCAGCGGCAGCCGAGGAGGCGAAGCCGGCTGAGGCACCAGCGGCAGCTGCGGAGGCGAAGCCGGCTGAGGCACCAGCGGTACCAGCGGAGGACGCCAAGCCAGCGGATGCCGCGGCGGATGAGGCGAAGCCAGCTGAGGCACCAGCGGCAGCAGCCGAGGGCGCGAAGCCAGCTGAGGCATCAGCGGCACCCGAGGAGGCAAAGCCGGCTGAGGCGCCGCGGCGGCAGCAGCCGAGAACGCGAAGCCAGACGATGCCGCGGCCGAGGACGTGAAGCTGGCACAGGCACCAGCGTCAGCCGATGAGGCAGAGCCAGCTGAGGCACCAGCGGCAGCCGAGGTGGCGCAGTCTGCTGAGGCACTAGCGGCAGTCGCCAAGCAGGCGAAGCCAGCGGATGCCGCGGCCGAGGAGGCGAAGCCAGCTGAGGCACCAGCGGCATCAGCCGGAGACGCGGAGCCAGCTGAGGCACCAGCGGCAGCTGAGGAGGCGAAGCCAGCTGATGCACCAGCGGCACCAGCGGAGGAAGCGAAGCCAGCCGATGCCGCTGCCGAGGAGGCGAAGCCGGCGCCGAGGCACCAGCGGCAGCAGCTGGGGAGGCCAAGCCAGCCGAGGCACCAGCGGCAGCTGCCGAGGAGGCGAAGCCAGCGGATACTGCGGCCGAGGAGGCGAAGCCAGCTGGGGCACCAGCGGCAGCCGCTCCGGAGGCGAAGCCGGCTGAGCCAGCGGCAGCTGCCGAGGAAGCGAAGCCAACTGATGCATTGGCGGCAGCAGCCGAGGTGGCGAAGCCAGCTGAGGCACCAGCGTCAGCCGCCGAGGAGACCAAGCCGGCTGAGGCACCAGCGGCAGCAGCTGGGGAGGCGAAGCCAGCGGATGCCGCGGCCCAGGAGGCGAAGCCACTTGAGGCACCAGCGGCATCAACCGAGGAGGCGAATCCAGCCGAGGCACCAGCGGCAGCAGCGGAGGAGGCCGAGCCAGCCGATGCCGAGGAGGCGGAGCCGGCTGAGGCACCCTCGGCATCAGCTGAGGAGGCGAAGCCAGTTGAGGCGCCAGCAGCAGCCGAGGAGGCGAAGCCCGCTGAGGCGCCAGCGGCAGCAGCCAAAGAGGCGAAGCCAGCAGATGCCGCGGCCGATGAGACGAGGCCAGCTGAGGCACCAGCGGCATCAGCCGAGGACGCGAAGCCAGCTCAGCATCAGCCGCGGAGGCGAAGCCAGCTGAGGCACCAGCGGCAGCCGCCAAGGATTCTGAGCCTGAGGCGGCAGCGGCCGAACAGGTCAAGGCGGAGGCCGCGCCAGTAGCGGCCAAGGACGAGGAGACGACGCTGGCCGAGGTCCCCGCGCCGGCAGCCGAGTGGACGAAACCCGCTAAGCACCCGGCTGCAGAGTCGCGGACGTCAATGCGCATGGCGCAGCTGACGCGAAAACGACGTCGCGGGCTTAG